CATATCCAACATATTCCAGGGCCTATTACAGTTCCTAGCACTAAGGTACTAGAACCATTTCCTTATCGCATGCAGACAGGCTTGACGTTACATCTTGGCTTTCTAAAGGAATATCCTAAGCCATTTTAAGCCCAAGTATTATTCTTTTAACTTTACCAGACTTGTTGGATTTAGGTCCATTTCTGTTGTTAGCTTCTTACCTCTTCATATTTTCTCCAGTTGGGTAAGAAATCCTCCAGGGCAGCGATGGGCTTATGTTGGCCACTGAACAAGTGAATTGGAGAGCTGTGGGCTCCAAAAGGGAATTAAGTTTTCAAAAGCAGATACTACATATCTTAGGAGAATTGTTATGGTCTTTTGTCTTTCCCTTTTGTGGATGTTGTCCATGGCTTTCCCTTTTTCAGCTGCTTTGTGCCTACTTTCTGTACCATCTTTGGCTATATTTCCAAATCTCCTCACCCCAGGAACCAAAAGACCCAACTTGTTTCCCATCTGTACTACTTCTCTGATCTTCCATAGCTCTGAAACACAATGCAGGGCTTCTTCTCACTCAACTCTTTCCGGGTTTGTTCTGCAGCTGTGGAGTTTGAATGTTAGTGTTTAAACAAGCTGGTATTACACAGGAAATGGCCACCTCCACAGGCCCCTGCAGGCTTGTAACATGGGGTCATTGTACTTGATATTAATCACCAGTCAGCCTGTTCCCCCAGTAAAAATATGAAGGAGTGTGTGAGTACCTAGTCCTCCGTAGTTTTTCCAGAAAGAAAGACTGAGTCCTGGTCAGACTTATCCAAACTGTCCCTGTTCCTAGGCCCCACCCCAGTCGGAGCTTTCACAGGAGTCCTAACTGACCCCTTCCCTATAAACCTGGCAATTCTTCCTTCTAAGTTCCAGGTAAGGAGGCATATTGTTATGGTATAACATGCCTCACATATCTCACACCTTAATCTTTCAGGGCATGCTGTAGTTGTATAACATATCCTATGAGAGATCTCTAGAATTTTAGAAACAACAGAAACCCTGGTCCACCTTAGAGCAGGCCTTCTTAGTTCCCTGAACTGAAGCAACTTTTCTTAATGCTATTTGCAGAACTAACCTCAGCCTGAAGGGTTAATCTGAATCCCCAAGTCAATATCCCCCAAACAACCAGCCAAGAGTGTGTGTTGGTTCATTTCTGTGAAATGTGTTTCCCCAGTCACCTGGGCCGGCCTGGGCTGCATTGTATCGGCCAGCAGCTGCACTGCACTCAAACTGACAGCTACATTAAACCTTGGAATTCTGAGGCAATAAAAAGTAAATTAACTCTTATTTTTTTTCCTTCCCTAGTGGAGTAAGTGAATGTATGTCTGTAGGGAAGTGACTGGGCCTTGGTTCTGACTTCATACCTCTAACTAGTCACTACTGGTCTGTCCCAGGCTAGGATCTGGTGTTCATACTCCAGCTAAGGGTCTGCTTTCCTGGTGTGTGGTGTGTTCTGTGGGGTTGGGCCCATGGGTCACCCTGCAACTATTGATCCCTGTGCATTAATCACATCCCAGCTGCTGAGACTCTCTTGCCACCATTCTGGGAGCCATAAATGGGTTTATTAAGCACAATTTCATATTCTCTGGCTGCTTTGCGTCTGTTTGGTGATGAGTGCACCTTAACTTCAGTGGGATTTTGTGGGCTCTAGGAGCTTCCCCAAAATATAAGTTGAACCAGAACAAGCCAAAAGGATTTGACTGAGCCCACAGCACTCTAGAGAGTCCATAGAGAATCAAAGGTGATTTGAGATTATCAGAAAAACCTTTTGGGGAGTCATTTCCCAAGCATTTCCAGAAGGTTGGGAGTTATTTAAGCACCTCATAACCGTAAGAATTTGATTTTGGGTTCCTCAGCCAATACTGAATCCTTAGGGTCCAAGGGTTGCTGTGGGGGTAAAGGTTAGAAGGCACTCTGGTTGAAATAAGAAACTAAAGCAGGAAAAAGCTAAGCTTTCCCCCTTGTATTCAGGCAGGAAACTCCGCGTTCATCCATGAAACTGACCTCCTAGCCCAAAGGCTTGATGGAGGTAAGCTGAGGTGACATTGCCAAGGTTCCAGAAATTACTTCATGCCCTTGCAAATATCAGTTTTTGATATTCAGGCATCTTGCCTGTATTTTCAGAGCACCTGTTTTTTTAGTATTAGTTTACTGATATTCCTCACACCCACACCACTGTGGAGAGTCACTGTATGCCCCAGGAACACCTACATAGTTGTGTTCATGTCTGTGGTGTTCCATGAGATGAGATAACTGATGATATGAAGTGTGACCTGAGCTTGGACAGTCCCACTGAGATACCAAAAAAAGCAGCTACTCAGAATCAGAGTTCAAATACAAGATTGGGCTGAATTGAAATGACCTTTCATTGAAACATTTTATGTATTCCCTTGGTTCTGATCAGTCTAGCTTGACCCTTGGACCACTTTTATTTATATTTCTGAGTTGGGAACTTGTGGTACTTCCTATGTCTTTTGGCACTAGCTGCTGTCTTACAAAATCAACATTAGGGTAGGAGCTCTCACTTACCTTATTTTTGTAGTGAGTCTTAAGGTTTTGGCACAAAGTGGGTGGTAATGGGCAAAAAGCAGATGTGGGCAGGGGTCCCTAGTGGTGGCCAACAATCTCTGGGAGGAGTCACTTTTGGTTTATCTGAGCCTTAGGGGACAGGAGAGTGTGGTAATGAGAACCACATGGTACCACATATTTCTTCGTTTTGGATCCAAGATGGTAGGGGTGGGAGGTTAAGAGAGGGTTATGGAGCCTCCCACAGTGGCAGTCATGGGTGATTTTCTGCCACCTTTCTCTTGCTGGGGATGCTGCTGCACACATCCTCATCTTAGCCCCCAATTAGGTCCTACTGCAGCTTTAACCTGCACAGCACCAGCCAGGGCCCTGAAGCCAAGAATTCAGCTGGGAGACTTTTCACCTTCTTCCTTCTCACTGTCGTCTTTCCTGTTTATTTTCTAAATTGCTGCTCTGCAACTGAGCAATGCCTGTTGGCCAAAGCTCACTAGTGCTGTGGGATTGGACTCAGGCAGTGGGCTAAAGTGGCCAGCAGGGCACTGGGGGAGGAAGTGGGGAACTAGAAGAACCTCCCTGTGCGTCTCCCATGGGCAGCACTAACCTCGGAGGCGGCCCTGAGCAGCCCTATCACATCCGGTGCTTGTCTCTGCAGCCGGGACCGGAGGATAAACTATCAGAGCTGTGGGGCAGTGCATCATTCCTCTTATTATTTTCTTCTCTGCAGATGGGGTCGTGGAAAGTTCAGTTCCTTTTAACCCTCAAAGTTCTGTTTATTCTACAGCTGGTAGCCTGAATGCTGCGTTTCCCATTACATCACAAAGGGGCTCAGGCAGAACTCCGCACAGAAACGTGTTGCAACTGTTTATTTTTTTCCATATTTAAACATTTCTGACAGCCAAACCCAGCTGAGCCAAAAGATGGAGCTTTGTGAATGAGTCTGGTTGTCGGTGTCTCTGCAGAGAGGCTTTAGAAAACTCTCATCCCTTTCGTGATTCTTCTCAAACATGTTCTTTTTCCTGGGCAAAGCCTGTGAAGTGAGTTACTTCTGTGGTACACGTGTGTTGATTATTTGCTGTTGTGTGATTAATGGAGCTATGTTCCACCTGGTTCCCAGGACACTCTTGAAAACAAGATGTTTCATTTCATTGCCTTTTCCTAGTGCAGTGATTACAGTAAATAAACTAGTGCAACCTCCTTCCACCTGGAGCCAGTCAGGGAGTTCCCATACTTCTTCCCCCACCTTCTCCCCTAGCATCACCCTCAGTAACATACTCCTTGAATGCCCTCTCTTCTGCCATCTCCCAAATGTTCCTAGTCTCCAGGAAAAACAAATTGCTTAGGTCTGAGGCCCCTCCCTCCAGGCAGGAATCATGCATAGTAACTCCCCTGGGGAGATTCCAGGATGACTCTACAACTCTCTGCTTATTTTCTCTTGTTCTACCTCTCTTGCTTTTACCTTGCTCTACCAGAGGTTAAGGCTTCCTCTGGAGGAGAAAGACAAGTCTATAAATTTGACAGGCAGTGCATTTGACCACAATTTGAGCTATCCCTGGGTAGGTACTCAACAAAGCAGGAATTTGAACCCGAAGTAGATGAAAACATCTGATAAGTGATAGAGGATGAACCCTCTTTATAATTCTATTTAGAATTTCAAATGGGGAGAGCCAAACTTTGCAGTTAGAAGTTTTCTTCTCAGGTTCAACTAGGGCTTGGTGATATGCATTCACAATGACCAGCCAGCCTGATTTACCCAGGATTGGAGGATTTGAAAAGATACTTTGAGTGCTTAAACTGGAACAGTCCTGGAATGGCTAGTCACCCTGTAGCTAACCTTCTGTAAGCAAGAGAAAGGGAAGAGCATGGGATGGTCAAGACAGCACTGATAGTGGTTCATCTGCTGAAATGTTTGAGAGCTTTACCTTCTTGGATGGATCTTGGCAAGCCAGGAATTAGGTTTTTGTTGAAACTGTGCTTGATTGGAAGAGATTTCTAAAGCAGTGAAAAGGAAAACCCACATGACTCTTCACAGTGTTACTGGACCCCATTTTACTGTTCCCTGCTGTCTGTGTGGCATATACTTGGTTGCTCAGAAGGGAGAAATTCTGGGAGCTGCCTCAGCCCCTGGGTATCTAGAGTGTTTCAGTAAGCATCTCAGCACTTTGTCTGGAAAGGGGACAGGACCTGCATTAGGCAACTACTTCTCCAAATTCTTTTTCCTCTCTGTTTAAGATTTTAAAACTCCCCCTAATCAATTTAAACTTTATATAGAGGGACACTGATACCTAGATTATTGCCATGGGCACAATTTTGAATCCTAGCATTTTTGGTATGATTTCTTGGCAGCTGTCAGCCTGGACAACTTTTGCTGCAAGTTTTCTACTCACAAATGCTGAGTGTACTTTTACTGGTCCCTCTTTAGACCTGCTCTTCTTTTCTGACCTTATTTTTCACAGGGTTGCTGTGGATGTATGGTCGACGCTGGCTGATTTTTGTAACATACTGACTGCAGTGAATCAGTCTGAGGTGCCACTGTACAAGGACCCGGACGATGACCTCACCCTTCTTATCCTGGAAGAGGATCGGCTTCTCTCAGGCTTTGTCCCCTTGCTAGCTGCCCCACAGGACCCCTGCTACGTGGAGAAAACCTCGGATAAGGTCAGCACCAGGCCAAACATCCCTCCTCATTCACCCCTCCTCTTAATTCTCCAGACTTTTTTTATTCTTGGGAAGTTTTCTGTGCAAACGGAACATGATTAAGTCATTGAGAAGGGTGTTAAGGGAAAATATCGACCTTTTAGCCGCTGACATCCAGCTCTATGTCCTGAAAAAAAAAAAACCCTCTCAACTTCCTTTGGTGTGTGTGTGTGTGCTCGCTGGCATGTTGTATATACGATCATTTCCTCACTTGTTTAAATAGTGCAGCTTGTGTTGGCAGGGCTCTCACTCAGCTCCAAATGGTTTGCATCATGCTTAAAGCACCCTCCTTCCTCCCCCCTTCCTTCTTCCCCCAGCCACAAAACTCTGCACTAGGAAAACAGCCAGGGCTTTTTCCCTTCTCTAAGGAGGAGAGTGATAAATAGGTGACTAGAGAGAAGCAGACACCATGTGTTAACTTACAAAAAAAGCTTTTAGGAATATGAAGCATTTCTCGCTGCCTGGTTTCTATTTTTTCTTCCTCTAAGGACTGTGTTTTAACCTGAACTTTGTGGGGGGGGGGGTCTGTCAGTTTATACAAAACAAAGCCCATTTCCTATTGTGCTGGTAAGGACTGTGGAGCTCCTGGTCTCTGCTTAATAATTGAATCTTCAGCCAGGTGAAGAGTAGGACAGTCTGGGCTGCTTCATTCTTCTCCTTTGAGAGCCACTTGGCCAGGAAAGTAGTAGCCATAGACCTCGGGAGCAAAGTGTCCTATGCTGAGACAGAGGGTACCCTGTGTCTTCTCTGCGGAGTCCTTAGCATCACAGCCCCATGGGGGAAAGTCCTTTGGGTAGGAGTCCACAGATGGCTTCTAAGGAGGAAGTCTTTTGCCCTAGAGGAAGTATACACTAAAGACAGAGATAGAGATTTTTTAAAAAATCAGTAAAAAACTAAATTCCATTCTGGGTATGGTAGTATATCCTTGTACTCCTAGCCACTGGGAAGGCTGAGGGAGGAGGATTGTAACTTCACAGCTGGCCTAGACAATTTAATGAGATATTGAGCTGGGTGTAGTGACGCCTGCCTGTAATCCCAGCACTTGGGAGACAGAGGCAGGAGGGTTGCCATGAATTCAAGGCCCGCTTGGGCTGCATGGGGTCAAGCCCAGCCTGAACTGCCTAGTGAGAGAGACCTTGACTTTAAAAAAAAAGAAAAAAGGTTGAGAATGTGTCTCAGTGGCAGAGGTTTTGCTGTCATGCACAAAGGTCTAGGTTTGATCCCCAGCAGCACCAAACAAAAACACCTAAATTCCAACATGAATGCAAATATGAGAGATTTTAGAAGAATTTTTTTGGGGGGGTGGGTACCGGGGATCAAACTTGGGACTTTGCACTTGCAAGGCAGGCAGCGGAACCACTGAGCTAAATCCCCAGCCCCTGAGAGATTTTATATTGAATATAAATTTTTTAAAACTTGTTCTCCATATTTATTCATTGTAGAAAATTTGCAAAACAGACAAAAGTATATCTAATCCCATTACCCAGAGTTAACATTACTGTCATTTTTACAATCATATTTAACTTTGAATATACACACATACACAGTTTTTTCTTCAATGAAACTGGTGGTAGCGTGGGCTGGGGATGTAGCTCAGTGACAGATTGCTTCACTAGCATGCACAAGACCCTGGCCAACCTAGCTGATTAGTATGGATGTGTCTGAGAAACTCTTTAAGATCTCTCTCTCTCTCTCTCTCTCTCTCTCTCTATTTGAAGAAGATAGACATTTTCCTCAAACTTCTACTGATCATTACTAAGAAATGTAGAATATCTCAAGGACTAACCAATAGCAACAACATGACCACTTTCATTACTGGTGAAGATTAGTCACACTTTTGGTCTAGCTTAGATGCTCATTCAACAGATATTTACTGAGCACATACCACCACACTACATGGAACATATAAGGGATATATTCTAGTTGGAAAGACTGTGGCATAGATAAAGATGTCAATAACAAAAACATTTTTGTTGAGCTAGTAGTAATCCAATGAAGACATTGCTTTATGAGCATTGATTTGACACTTAACACATCATTTCCCAAGCATGTTCTGTGGAACTCTAGTTTTGTAGGTTCTGAATCTTTGTGGAAAAAGTTTTCTGATATGATCATTTGTATATAATCAGTGTTAAACAGGACTCATTACTGCAAGACCTCTTGAATCTTTTAACATTGCAGTATACATTGCAAGAAGGATAGTATTTATAATCTTTGCCAAGCTTGTTTCGCCCTTGATCTTTTTTATTTACTGAACATCTTCAAGATTAATATTCTGGGGCCGGGGATTTAGCTCAGTGGTTTCGGCACCTGCCTCAAAAGTGCAAGGTCCCAAGTTCGATCCCCGGTACCAAAAAAAAAAAGGTTAATATTCTGAAGTTGGGTTTGGTGGTATATGCCTGTAATCCCAGCACTCTGGGAGGCTGAGGCAGGAAGATCACATATTTGAGCCCAGCCCAGGCAATTTAGCAAGATCTTGTGTTAAAAAAAAAGAAGGGCCGGGGATTTAGCTCAGTGGTTCCGTCAGCCACCTCGCAAGTGCAAGGACCCGAGTTTGATCCCTGGTACCAAAAAGAAAAAAAGAAAAAGAAAAGGCTGAGAATGTAGCCCAGCACTGGCCCTAGCTTCGGTTCCCAGTACAGAGGGGTGGGGGGCAAAACTGTAGCAGAAAGGCAAGATACAAGATGAACAAGAGGTGGGAAAACATTAGTTTTGGAATTATTTAGAAGTACAATAATATAAAAAGAACACAGATTAGGGCTACAAGCAATAGAGTAGAGCTGATAACATTTTGAGAAAAACATCATAGGTATTCGAGCAAACCAGGGGAAAGAAACTGATTTTCATTCATTGAGTGGCTGGTAGGCACCTGAAAGGTAATAGAGTATAGGTATTGATGAAGTGTAGGATTAGGAACCCTTGTTTATATGACTTCAAAACCCAAGTTCTAATGAATGATTTGCTATCAAGGACTTACTTCAAAATAACCTGGTCAGGAGGAGATAAGAGAATAAACAAGAAGGAAAAAATGCCAAATATTGTTCATTTTTTTAATCTGAACAATGGGTATATTGAGACCATTAGAGTATTTTACTTTTGTATATGTATAAAATTTTCCATACATACTTAAAGAAGCAAAGCCATCCTTTAAAAAATCTTTTTTCTGGCCAGGGATGTAGCTCAGTGGAGCCATGCCTGCCTGGCAAGTGCAAGGTCCTGAGTTTGATCCCCGGTACCACACACACAAAAAAAATTCATTTATTTGAATCAGTGTTTTGTGGTGCCGGGAATCCCAGCTCAAGGGCTTCATTCATGCTAGGCAAGCACTTTGTCACTGAGCTAGAACCCCAACACTGGAATAACTATCTTTAAATCAAAATAAATAAACAAAATTTTTTTAGGTCTTGGTTGAGATAGAGTCTCACTATGTAGTTCAGGTTGGCCCTGAGCTGACTATGTAGCCTAGGCTGGCCTCAAACTCACAGCAATCCTCCTGCCTCAGCCTCCAAGGTACTGGGATTATAGGCATGTGCCATCACACCTGGCCCTTTCTGCCACATTTACTTGAGTTCTGGAGAAAATAATGAATCCATAATAATGAAATTAAAAATTTTTAGCCCCTGAGCTAAGCTCTTTACACATTTTCTCACTGAAACCCCAATTACTTTATAGGTAAATGTGGGGAAGTGATAAGAACACTATTTTAAGAGAAAGTTCGGGTTGTGTTTCTCAGTTTCAAAAATGCTTACTTGTTTTGTTTTGGTCTGGTTTGGTTTTTTGATAGAGTCTCACTTTGTAGTGCAGGCTGACCTTGAACTCATATGTAGCCCAGGCTGGCCTCAAATTCACAACAATCCTTCTGCCTCCCGAGTGCTGGGATTACAGGCGTACATCACCATGCCTGGCCAAAAATACTTATTTGAGCTGGATCAGTAAGGCACATCTGTAGCCCTGTCTACTTGAACGCTTGAGGCAGGAGGGTCACTTCAGCACAGGAATTCAAAGCTAGCCCTCACAATGTAGCACAACCCCACTAAAAAAGAAACTTAATGATCATCTGTAAAATACATACATATGACTGTGTAACTTATGGATATACTATTTGTTAATCACTTACTTTAGGAAGTTCTGTTTCATGAATGATATCTTAATATTGTACGATAAATCTTTGCATGTATCTTAAATTCATAAGAACAAACTTTTCAAATGGAATTACTAGGTCAGAGAAGGCACACACATTTTTAAGACTTCCAGTGGATAGACTAAATTTTGCCCTGCAAAAACTGACAATTTAAACTGGCAAATATGAGAGTAACTTCCTCACCAATCCTGGTTTAACTTTTTGTAATGCTGCCAGAGATGGACAAAATATATTATCTTGTTTTACTTTTTATTATTTGATTACTAATAGCATTAGTTTTTTTTTAAGTATTATGTTTATTATCTGTATGTATTGGTATTGTAGTTATTATAAATAATTGCCTTGTGTTCTTGGCCCATTTTACCATTGGAATATTCATCTTTTTCTTTTTTCTTAATGACTTATAAAAGCTATTTATGAATGACTCTTGAACTTTTTTGGTCATCTTTGTATAACATAACTTTGTGGAGGTTTTTTGGTATTTTAAAATTTTTTAATTTTTATTAGTGCATTTTGCAGTATATAATGATTACATTCATCATGGGGAGTTGGTACATGTACATAACACACCTCAATTCTCTTTACATCCCTTTCCCCTTCTCTCCCTTTCCTTAACTTTGTTTTTATATTGAATGAGATGAGAATTTTGAGAAATGTTGAAAAGAGAGATATAGCACTCTACATAGACAATAGGAAATATCCTTTTGTTGCACCATTCAAGATAAGATCTTTTGTTTGATTTTACCCTTTGAGAGAATTTCTCCTTACTCTTCGCTATCAGTTCATAGATATCTAAGGGAAAATCATTGCCAGCCAAATA